TTGCCGATTTATTTTCATTTATCTTTTATTGAAAGTTACAAAAGTACTCATTTGCTTACTGAAAGAGTAAACAACATCTTTGGTTGAAAGATATAAATGACAATTTTTAATTTTGGCAGTGTTGCCTATTTTCAAATGAAAACCTAAAACCTCTTAAAAAAGGACAGCGGTGGGACAGTCATTCAGAGTCATAGACAGTGTGTTGATACCCTTGTATTTGAACAGTAAAAGGGCTTAAGTTACGGAACATTTTCCAGGAGAAGCATTTCTCTTTGATATGCCTCTGTAAAAGAAAAAACTTGCCAAGACAAGGCTTCAGGTAATCTGATGCATACCTTACTTAGCCTGCTGCTTGTCTTCAGAGATGTCTGCTTTTTCTTGTCTGTCATCCCAGAGAACTTACAATACTGAATGGTCATCTCTGTGAGCACTGGGAAGTTGTTTGCAGAGGAAACAGTAGTGGTATTGTACAAGGCAAGACATGCTAGTAGTATGTTTTTACTGAGTGAAATGCTAATAAGTACATGACCAAATTCTGCTTCAGGGCTGTTGAAGTTACAGGGACTTTTGTCATTGGCTTTGCAGAGGTCAGAACGCTGTAACTCTGTTAGAGAACAAGCCATAAAATCTGTGGACTTTTTTACAGACTGCTTTCCCGCAAAATGTGGCAGAAAAATATTTTATCTTTTAACAAAAGTATGAGCCTTATTCATACCTTGTCATCTGTCAAAAATAGTGCTAATCTTCAGCTTTACAGCAGCTTTCTCCCATATAATGATGGGGTAATTTACAAAAATTTATAACTCACAGTGTTCCTGATTTTCCCTGTCTTCATTCAAAAAGAGTGCGAGTGGTATGATGGTGGTGGTTATTATGCCTTGATGCTGGTGCATCTCTGCTTCCTAACAGCTGTTCTGGTGGTTTTTCTCTAGTTTCCATTTATGCTGTTTTGCTTCAATAAATAATCTTGATCCTAAAGCAACTCAAAATTACAGTACACCATGTTTATATATTATTAAACACTTAGAGGATATTATTTATTTTATTTTTTCTTTTCCAGCTGTCATATGCACTTAGGTGTTTCCAGTGTTTTCTCTTGTCTTTCCTGTAGTCTCGCCAGCCTAACAAAGCTGAGTTGTGATTTAAACACACTTTTAGTACTGCAAGTGTGATGACCGTCATTTCACCCTAAATTCTGCAACACGGTTGTTGCTGTGCTATACTTGAACCCCAACTGCTCTGAGTCAAATACTGGAATACAAGAATACAAGTGTTGGTGTTTCCTAAAGTTAAGTGTGAATTAATAACAGAAAGCTGAAAATGTGCTGTCGGATTAACTGATGTCCCTTCTTACTGGAACAAATTAACCATTAGTCAAGGACAGTGCTTTGCCATTACAGACTTTAAAATTTTTCCTGAAAAGTGGTGATTTTTCTCAGTTGGTTCAAAAAGTAAACCAGTAAATGAGCTATTGGACAAGCAATAACACTCCATTTTAGGTAGCCCCAAGTTACTGAAGGCTTTTAGGACAGTTGTTCCCTCCCTTATCTTTTCGGATATCTCAGTGCTTTAGCTGGGTAAGAGGAATTGCATTCAGAGACTCAGTAGATCAGTCATGAGATGTTGGAGTCTAGTTTAACATTTGGGAAGAATTAACAATTGGGATTTTGACTGAGTAAGTAGCTACCAGTAGGGTGTACCTGCTTGGGATTGACAGTGTCTGCGCTGGATGGGACATGTTTCCTACCAACAGAAGTACCAGTCATGCATATGACATTGTTTTCTTAATTGAAAAGATTTTACTGTAATTTAATTGTTTCAAGTGTTTGCCTTAGAGATGAGAAACACTTATATTTTTAGTTTTGTTTAATAGAGATAAAAATAAATTGTTTCTAGAGAAAACATAAATAAAAGGAATTAAAATAAAGAAATTAAAAATAGGAGAAGTATTGGCAAGGATTGTGCCTATTTGCATATTCAATGAAAATAGCAAGCTATAGAAAGCCAATTTTCCCATGCAGTATTTATTGTAGTGTTTCATTTAAAAAAACAGCCAAAGAGCTAAATACGATGAGAAAAAGAGAGGTGACTACTTCTGTGACCAAGCCATAGGAAGGTAAAGGATAAAAGTCTATTTTGATGTTCAGAGAATTAGGCAGCAGGTTACACCAACAAGATTTAATTTTCTGGTGTATGCTAAGAGAGGTGGCACAGTATCAAAATGCAGCAAATGGGTTTACTTTCTGAAAAAATTTTGTACTGAGTTTAAAATGCTTATTTAAATGATATGCCACTATGAGGCAAAATGAATGAAACAGCTGAGCCTGCAGTTATTTTATAAAATCTTACTGGTTTGTTGTGCTGTTCTCTTGAATTAGTCAAGGGAGCAATGTACAATCTCACACTGCATTGCTAAGCGGTAGTTATTCCTGCACCATAAAGGGCAAAGGACAACAGAGCATCTTCCCTATAGCATATTTTCCAGTGCATATTTCTTTCTGTGTAAGTAGAAATGCCCATAAACGTGTACTAAAACGGGTATGGTGAAACAAAACTAACTCCCTTTTTTTTAAAGATTGCAACTTTCAGAAGCAACAGTGAATAGTTTTGTATTCTTGTGGACAAAATAGGGACAAAGCTTTCTCGAGGACACATGGTACTTGAAGTAGTCGTGACCTGTTTCTTTTTTGTTCCCCAATGAGCTTAGTTTCTCTCCCCAGGGCATTGTTTTTGTGCCACTCCAGCACATTCTCAGAACTGAACAGCTTTCTTACAGGGCAAGAATATGGTGTAATGTATTGTGGGTGGTTTGTTTTCTCGGTTTCATATTAAAAACACATGCAAACATTTATATGAGAAAACACAACTGAAGACTGCGCTAATGCTGCTATACTAGCAGTTATGAAGTTTTGGAACTTAGGAATTCTGTTTTTTGGACTCATAGGTGAGATTTCTTCTCCCTATCAGCACTGTTCCCGTGCTTGCTGCCTTGAATAGTCCCTTCTACTTTCCTTATTGTTCCTCATTGCAGTGAGTATTGCAGCTTCTTAAAAAATGAGAAGTCCTGCTTCAAAGACTCAGCCAAAGAGGTCATTTCTGAATCATTTCTATTATGATATTATACAAGGCTCACTATAATTAAATTAGCTTTTGTTAGCAATTCACCAGCAGACAGAAATGCATGTTGTCTTCCGTAAGTCTTCCTCCCTGGGCTTGTGATATAAAGACATAAATTTTGAGACATTCTTTCTGTTGTACCTGTGACTTTGGAGCATCATTGGTCTCTTTTGCCATGCAGTGAGCTTTTCTTGGCCTGCTTCTCTCCCACTATGTTCAGAGGATCTGTGAATCACAATTTCATATTGAGGCTCATGATCTGTAATACTGCATTTGATGATAGGCCTAGGCACTACATGTATTCTAATTCTTTACATTTAGTCTTTTATAAACTGAAGATTTTTTTCATTGTATAAAAATAGTGATTGCCAGTTTGGTGACAACATTGGTTATTTCTACCTTGATTTCCATTAGTTGGATGGATGGATAGATAGCTTGGTTATTTTAAGGTATTATAACATTCATAGTTACTTCATCGTATGCAAAGATTTTGTATTAAATTTTTTAACTGCTGGATACATTTCTAAGTTAAAAGTCAATACCTCTGCTATGTTAGAACTTCTTTCACTCAAGAATGAAACTTTTCAAAAGAGAAAAGTTTTGGGAAAGTCGAGTGTACAACACAGTTCTTGGCAAATTCTATAAAGAACTTTTGAAAACTTATGTGAATATCACATTCACAGTCACCTGTAGTTCATATTTGGTTTTATATCCAGAAAAATGTGAGAGAATTCTTTACTGAATTGTAGGCCTATGTGGGCTGTTAATGACATGGATCTGTTACTCACCACTATCACGTATCTGTTGCAACAATTTTCTTGTAATAATCCATTACAGCTATAAAATTCTCGAATAAGATCTAGGCATAGGAATAAAACCTGCAGGAAGTTCTCTTACTTTAGACATTCAAGATAGTCTGAAGTATAGCTTTTTTCTGCCTGACCTGGCCATAAACTGTATTATTTTGCAAAAAAGTTACATGCCTCTCAGAAAGAGTGAGACCTTCCTTCACGTAAAGTCCCTAAGTATTGTATTCCAATTAAACCTTTGTGACTGAGCATTCTCAGTGTATGAGGAGCAAATAAATGGCTCTGGATGCTAATTTTTGTTCTTTTAGCTAAAAAGAATTTTTCAAGTGCACACTAAAAGCGAATGTTATTATGCTGTTTGTACACAAAAATCTTGAAATTTCGTGTCTACTGTAAGGACTTAACCTTGGAAGCACGACCTTCCCTTTAAACCGACTTTATTCCTTCAGGTCGGAAGGAACCCTGGCATTTCAGTCCTCCGACTGAAGTCAGAGTTGACTACACAGTATATTGAAAATAATGTGTTTCTGAAGAGGCAGCAGCTGTTTGGGGTTTTTTTTGTTGTTGTTTTGGTTTGGGTGGGGGTTTTTTGTTTGTTTGTTTGTTTTTGTTTTTTTTTTTTAATGGGGTGTCCTTCATGTCTAAGCAAGCTTTGAATGCATCTAATTTTAAAGCCAACCAGACTGCATACCCTCCCCTCTGCAACAGAATTTCTGAGTTTCAGATCTGAGAAGAAAGTGAGAGTTGCAACTGAAAACTGAAATGTGGTGGTAATAGCTTGCCTTTCTAGATGACTTCAGAAGTCTTAAAGCAAGTATTTGAGGACAGCAGGCCAGTCATGTGATTCCTACAGAATATTGATACCTCAGAACAGGACTTGACCTGTTTCAGCATTTTCATCCAGAAAGATTAGGTCCCTTCATTTATGCTTATATACACATGATCACAGGAAGTATTTCTCTGCTTCTTAAACAAATTTGTTATGGTATGCTTGCACTGACATCTAGAATCCAGTATATGGTGCCAGTTAAAATAGCAACCACAAAAACTTATCTTCTTTCCTTACATGTTTAGGAAAATATCTCCAACTTTGACATCGTCATGGAGTCTGATGAGGGCACCTTCAGGCCGTCTGGACTGGGTTTTACTGGCAATGCTAAAGCTCGGGACATTGTGAAAGAGATCGTGACTCTGCTGCAGCCCATCAATGTTACGGAAGTTTACGACGACGCAGATGGAACGGACATTGATTACTGGATGAAAGATGGGGTGCCTGGTGAGTGTGCTTTGCAGGTGACACCGCTCCTCCCATGCAGTGGCATGTCAGATGGGTGGTTTGGGTTTTTGAAAATAGTAAGAAATGCTTTCTCTCAAGGAGTAAAATTTACGGTAGATAAAATGCAGAAATGTTAAAAGGTGACCAACAAAAATAGGACATAAAGTGCATTTGAGCTGCAGTTTAATAATGGTATAGATTATACATAGCATAACATGCCTAAAATCTTCTTTTCGGCTTTAAGGATTTATAATAATTAATCCCAGACTGGTGGTTTATAAATAGTAAGCTAAGGCAGAGAGAAATTCTCCAATGCAGAACAAATGATTTTTTTATTATTATTATTTCAACTTTGAAATACAGGGCTTTTTCTCCCTGTTTCATATGCTGCAGAAACAATGTTTTTGAGACATGACATTTAAAAAGTTATGGGGCATTAAGGTGTGCTAGAGGAGTAAAAAGTGGTTTAGGGGTTTGTTTGGAGTACTGTATCTGTCTCACAGTGAGGAGCAGCTTGCTGGCAAATAGGCTTGGAAGCTATGAAAGAGTTCCACTGCTGGCAGCCCCACTGTGCAGGAGACCCCACACTAGCACAGGGTTTTGCAGAGCACGAGTCCCAGTTAGACACCAGCCTGGGTGAAGCCTTAGTGAATTTCCATGATAGTTTTCACTTGAACAATATTAGAAAGAAAAGTTTCATAACATTGATATTTAAAAAATTATGATCTGTTTTAAAATTTTAAGGTTCTTTTTCTCCGGTGTTTTATGATTGAAGTAGGCTGGCGCGTTTCTCATGCTAGTTTTACTAGTAGATGCTATATGCTTAGAATCTCTTAATATTTTATTAACTGCCTTGTTTTGTACCTGGTCTTGCGGAAAGCGCAGTTCATCATGGAATATATGCTTCTTATTTGTGGTCAGAACACTTTGCTTCTCACGCACCTGGGGTGTACAAAGATACCATAAAGTTGACTGCCTCGATAAATGTACAGATGTCTAATTTTGAAAGCAAAATGTCTATGCTGGGCAAGAAGTATGGATGGATGGATATTGTTGAATAGCTAGGGATTTATCATCAGCTGGTGTGCTGCTTTCCAGGTGAGGTGCAAGCTGTTCAGTGCTGTGTCATACAGTTGTCACATTGGTGTGCACTGGGGTTCCTAGGCTCTATGGGTGCATCTTACGTGTTAGGACCTTGTGCTGGGTTGAGTTGAGAGACCATAAGCCCTGCTGCAATGTTGTAGACTTGCATCATCCTCCACAGCCTGCAAGTGCCTGTACAAAGACGTCTGGTCCAGAATTTCAGACCAACATGTCTGTGTTGTAGCTGGAATATGAGAACTCGCCACTCAACCTGTGTTTAGAAAATACAGGTGTATCAGAATTATTTCCTAGTAAAGGTGTTGGGAGTCCTCGGGGACTTCCATTGTGCTTCCCATCTGAGTGTGACAGATTATGGAAGAAAGAGAAAAAAGTTAACATTCAAAAGCCTTGTTTTCAGTTGATAATGTGAGTGGTGCTTGTGATGGCAGTGTGTATTGAGATCTTGTACACCACTTTTCATTAGCTGAGGTGCACCTGGAGCATAAATAGCTACAGCTTTCCGGGGTCCTCTTGATTAGTCACCTGGGCTACATGTTTAAAGTGCCGTCAGTAGGACCAGGGCAGAAACAGGAGCCCTCTCCCATAGTCATCCATACTCCTCAGAAAGCGTAAACTGTGCAAAAAATCATAAACTATAAGCTCAACCTTGGGAAAATACAAATACACCAGAACCAAGACCTCAGTTTTTAAATAAATGTGATTTGCCTTCCTATTTAAAATTTGTCACATTAATTGATGGTGGGGGTTTTTGCTGTCTGTAGCTTTGGTTCATTTAACTTCCCATTAAGCAGATAGCAAAGTGTTGTTGTAGCATAAAGGAACAGTGATTCTTTTTTTCCCCATCGAGCCCCAGTGGAATTAGCTCCACTAAAAGAATTTTGGCTGCTTTAGATTGCATTTCATACTGTACTAGGGAGAAGTCTAAGACATCTTGTAATCTTCATGCCTTGTCTGCAGTATTCTCACCGCTCGAATGAGCCCTTGTGGTATATAATAACATTGGAACAAATTGAACAGACTGTAACAGCTTTTATAATTTCATCCATTTAAACAAGCAGTCAAGTGTTGACACTTCATCAATTTTTAAAAATATTTTCTTGAAAATACATTTGGTGGCTTTGTTTCTGCAACAGTAAGAGAAAATATGGTGTACTTCTTGAACAATAAGAATGGTTTCTGATGTAATCTCTCTAGAGTTTTTCTCCTTTTCAGTGTTAAATAGATTCTAGGATTCGCCTTTTTAGATGCTATTAAAATTCTGCTCCTCCTGCTCCTTTTGGTCTGAAAGAGCCACAGAGGGCAACAGTAACGTGTGTTTTTCAGAGCTCCTCATAGCTGCTCCTGAGTCCAGCGAAGTGACTCTGGGAATGTTATTTGAAATATTACTTAAACGTATTTACAAGAAGACAGCAGTGACTGTTCTGAAATTTTAGGATAAGAGAGGCCAGGAGAGTTCAGAGTGCTTTGCAAATCGTAGACTGAAGCTTAACTAATACCTCTAAAGCACAAGCAAGGTGATCTGCACCAAACACAGCCGTTTTATGCTTCGTGACTGCAGAGTATTTCCATCAGTGGCCTTTACATTGGATTATTTTGAGAATAGTTCAGCCCAGCAATGAGGAATGTCTGTGGCTGTGTTTTTGTAGTGATAGCCAGTTTTTAGCTACTGAAAATATTTGTACAACATTTGTTTTGCTTTTTCATGAAGCATAAATCAAAGGAAATTGGCGTTTTGTGGTGTCATATTTTAAGCTGTGGTTTTACATTTTGAGATGACTGTTGGTCCTAAGACTGCTCCTTTATTAATTATGGAATTATTTTCCTCAGTTTTCTTTTTAAGACTTCAGTTATGTATTTGGTTTTAGTTAGGGATACATCTAAACTGTGGCACATAAAACTATTCCTTTCTAACACTAATTCCTAATCAAGTTTGGCCAGAATTTGCAAATATAGGTGGGAAATGGGTTGGTTGAGTTAATTTTTGGTGGTTTCTTTGCAGGCTTTTTCAGTGTCCGAAATGGTTAAAAACCATTAAGCAACATAGACCAACACTCAGGTATTTTTGTTGAAAAAGCAAGGTATCTGATGATCACAAGGATGCTTCGAACATGATTTAAACCAGTTCCTAAGGCAATAGCACTGGGGCTGAGTCACTCTTCCCTGCAAACTTTCAGACACTGAGAAGGGAGATTGAAGTGATTGTATTTGTATTACGTTATCCAGTGAACATTAGTTCAGCTTTAGGCGTTAGGGGAGAGGAAAACAGGTGCTCTTCTATTTTGGCAAAGGGAAGGCTGTTATGACACAGTATTTCCAGGGGAGCTGGTTCAATAATGCTCCTTTTTGCTGGGCTCGTCAGGGAGGTTATCGGTTGCTGTGGTGGTTATGATGGAAACACTTGTCTGTTAGGACCTGAGCTGTATTTGAGATCGAGCTGACCCAGGACATCAAACAACTCCCCAGAGGCATGTGGCAACTCCTCTATTTAAAATTCAACCAGTGAACTAAAGGTGAAACTCCTTTTTACAATGTCACTCTGAACCTTGATTGTTTGTGTGTCTCCACAGTGACGGTGTCTTGCTTTTTTGTTACATTACACAAGAGGAGGAATTATTCTTCCAGAAAGTAATAAACCAGTAGTTCATCTAACTTTAATGTTTCTTCAGAAATCAAAAATTCATTGCTAACCCAATCTATTAGTCATTTTCTCACAGGTGGCAAACAAATACTATCATATATCATTTCTCTCATTTTTATATTTTCATAGTACTTCTTTATTACCTTCATCTAAAATAAGATGTATTTTGGCCTTAGACATCAGACTTTGACATGCATGATTTCCTTTCATATTATGTAAGAGGTTAAATCCTTCAGTTCCACCCCTTTTCCAGAGCATGCTGCCCTCTCACCCCCCCCACCCCGTCACCCCCCGTCCCCATCATCCCTTGTAGCACCAAACTCCAGTGCAAGCCTGTCGGCATGCTTGGACCAAGCCTGCTCCACTGCTCAGTGTCAGCCAGGGACATGTTTGAGAAAGTGGTGTAATGGGAAAACTCCCTGACTTGAGGTTGCCAGCTGAGCATGAAGAACTGGGTAAACTCTATTTCCCAGATATTAAGCAGGTAACCTCTGTTCACTCCTGGCTATATGACTTTGGAAGTGGTGGCCAATGTGATGCATGAAGCATTGCCCCTCGGCATACCTGTTTTATACTGTCCGCAGACTTGGGCAGGCTCTTTGGATCCAGTTTCTGAGCTTATTTTTATTGCTAAAAGAATAAAAACCGTAAAGAAAAAGAGGAAAAATCAGATTCACATAGTCTAGGACTTCATGGGCCAATGCTGAAAAGCTTTTGGCTTGATTGTACATAGGTAAAGGATGCTGCAGTTGACAAAGACCTTCCTACAAGAGAAAGGAAAGAGAAAAAGATTTCCTTAAAACCAGACATAAACCTTAACTTCCTCTTTAATATATAGCATTTATGTGATTTGTGATCTGGGATGTTTAGCATAGGGTATCATGTGGAGAGCTCCAGTTACTTGACTAAGTGACTAACACAAGTGAAATGTCTCCTGCTCACTCATGGAGCAAAAAGTTGGACAAAACTCCTGAACACTGCTCACAGAACTAGCTTTATGTGTAGTATTGGAAGTACTTAGATAATTTTAGTTATTCCACAGGTGCTACATTTTTGTACTTGCTGAGTTCCCACTGCTCTGGACATGTGTTGAAGCACACTGCCAACACCACCCACTATGGGCCTGATTTATCTTTTTGTGGAATTGAGGGGTGAGGGGCTTACAGTGTACACCTATGTCTTGCCTGAATCTTGATCTCAATAAGTTTGAGATATACCAGCACAGTTGTGTGATAATTAGCAATATTGTATTCCTTTC